TCTTGATTAATAATTGGCAATAGATGTCCGAGGGGTGAGCTCCAACAGTTTTGGGGAACCATGATCCAGGATCGTAGAGGGGCTCTGAGGTGCCTTGGTGTGCTCAGAGTTGCTCAAGTAACATAGGACAGTGTTGGTATTTCTTAAAGTCACGGATAAATTAGCAAGCGCACAAATACTGCCGTAACATTTTACCCAAGAGTATTCCAAGGGTAACATATTTATATTTTTGCAAGTAAGGCGGTAGTGTAAAGATAAAGTTCATATATTCCCTAATCAAGCTATAATTACTTGGCCATAGCTGCAACAGGGGATAATTGATAATATGATAAATGGAGTAGTGTGACACATAGGAGATTCATAAAAACACTAAGAATGACTGACCCCACATCTTTTTCACAAACACTCTTACAAGTCTACATTTTATATAGATCTACAGAAATTCATAAAAATAACATCACTAAGAACTAAAAAAAATCATAATTCCATCACATCTGGGTGCAACAACGTAAGAGAGCGAGAGAATATGTAACAACATCGGAAAAAAGTGGCTAGGTGAGATCAAAGAGTCTATGCACCGCGGTGCATAGAAAAACCCTAGCCAAAGTTTCCCCTTCACCACCAAATTTGCGATGGATCTCCCAGAGTCCAACGACAACAAGGCAGCCATAGACAAGTTCTAGTGTGACGGGGCACTTCCAAGTTCATGATCGATGGGACACACAGAAGGAGGTACCAATAGTGATCCTACTCTCAAAAAAAAAAATCATGATCCTTTCTTCTTTCGTCCATGTGGATTCTTGCCTCCTCCCTCGGAATTTCTCACTCTCCTCCTCGACTTCTATGACCTTCACCTCCTTCACTTGAATCCAAACTCGATTGCTTTCCTCGGCATCTTCACCCACCTTCGTGAGGCGTACTTAGGAGTGCAGCCGTTTTTGGATCTGTTTAGATATTTTTACAAGGTTAGATTCATGGAGCAGTCAAGGATTACTGGATGTTGTGGTCTTCACCTTAGAGCTGGGATGAGGGACTAGAGCATCCCTTTTAACTGCCTCACCTCCAGAAAGGATTGGAGGAATAAATGGTTTTATCTCCACACAAAGACTCATCTCCCCTTGTCTTTCCCTACCCAGCCGATAGCAAACCAGTCTGATAAAAGCCCTGGGTTTTTTAGTCCTCCGATGATCGAATCCTTAAGACTTTTAATTGCGAAGATCAAAGACCTTTGGGATCGTGGTTTGGCGGGGCACAAGATCGTTGGCAATTTCGTGCGTCGTTGGAACCAACCTCACCAAGCTCATGCTCATCCTGCGTACGAGTACACAGGAAATGAAGACATGACATGAATATCGTCCTGGAGTATATTATCCATTATCAGTAGTATTTTCAAAATAGAAACTTTTGTTGATTGCTGACGGTGACGAGGCGAAGAGGAAGCTCATGCACATGGTGACTAGGCGGTTGCAATAGCGGCGAAGACGGGTGCTGTGATGAGTGCTCGGGCACCGTCGATGTCTCCATCGCACACTGAGGTTGAGGCGGCAACGCATGAACTCCACGGAGCAAGGCAGATGGTGAAGAAATGGAGTCATGGCGCGTGAGCCAATCTGATGCCCAAACTGATGCCCTGCCGGCCAAGGTGGAGCCACATCGTCGTCACCAGTGCAGCTGCCTCCGAGTTCATCTCTTCGTGATTTCGCTTCCGTCGCCACCATACGCTCCTCTTTGATGGTTGCCGCCTCTGCCACACGCCTCTTCCTCGATACACGTCATCGGCACCGTCACACACTCCTCACTGACGACAGTCGCCGTGAGGGCCACAAGGGTGAATTGCCCATGAGCTGTTAGATAATATGCTGAAGGGGAAGGGAAAATGAAGGAGTAGGAACAAGAGGATGACATGTGGGCCGTATCACTTTCTAAATTGTTTTTATGCTAATTGGACTGCCACATGTGCACCACGTATGACTAAAACCTTTTCAAAGTGAGTTAGGGGGTAATTTATCCGATATGAAAAGTTGAGAGTGAAGGATGTCCGATTTTGTGGTTTAAGTTGGTAATACATACTGTCGTGATAGTCAGGGGGGTAATTCAGACTTTTTTCATAATTATATGCTGAATACTGGAGCATATTGATGACGCTCTCTCTCGTGGCCCAATCTTCTAGTGAGGGAATAACTCTCGCTTTGATCGAGTGTGACGTTTACGACGTGGCTACCAACCAGAACAAGTCCAGGATGCCGTGCAATCGCTACACCACAAACGATGTCGTACCAACCGTGACGCGCAGTTGATGATCCCTGCAATGCAAACGAGAGAACACTGCAAGAACAAAATAAGATGCAATCTAAATATTGCGAATAGGTGATTAAGCACAAAGAAATAGTTGCGATTGAAGTGGTAGATCTAATCGATCCGGCAAATCAACACACCAACTATTGGGGGCTCTAAATCAATAGTCGCCGACTAATCAAGCGAGGACTAGAGACAAGGTGAATGGCACTTGGCAAAATTCAACTAAACAAAACCCAAATGTTTTTGAGGATGTACAAAGCTATTTATAGAGGAAAATAAAGCTAGGGTTAAGTGCTAATTCGTAGAGGTGGAGGGAGACACTTCCGAGATGGGCCTAGTCTATTACAAGGCCCAAGACCCAAGTTCGGTTTTAGCAACAACACTGTCTTGTTTTGGCGATTCCCGTTGACTCGAGATGAATTTGGACATGAGACCAAATGCGTTTGAAAGATAGTGAGATACGCTTTCCATGAAGTCCAAGATCATCCAAATCGGAGTTGGCACAAATACGCTAGGTCCGTTTGAAGTCAATGCTGACTCCGGAGGCCGAACTGGACTTGGACTTGGAATTATCGTTGTAACGTGTGAAGTTATGTGCGTATCCGATGAAGTGATATCCTCGTCACATATTTTAGACAATAATTGTATAGTAAAATGAATTTTTGTTCACTTATCCTATCACAACATTCTTTGGTGATGAAAGAAATTTTTAACTGCCGGCATGGCCATAGATACAGGACAAACAAGAACACAGTGAGAAACAGAGAAAGGCGAGACCACCAGACAGAGTCAGGAGTATACAGTGTACTCTTGTACCACCACCTATGCATGGAAGGAAGCCGTACTTGTTCCTGCTGCCGCTCTGCTGCATTCTCGCCCGTGCCGAGTTCTTCTATACACGTGCGCCTCGCAAACAAAGAGGTATCATTAAACACCTCAGCTAAAGAGTGATTAAATGATAATAATTTTGGCTAATTAGCTGCAGTGGGGATTGTCTGCAGTACTACTGGTACAGTAGCAGACACTAACGTATGGGTCCGAGCCCACATATCAGCTATTACTACTGCATCAGCAATTATGCATAGGATGTGCATCCAATTAGCTGCACGTAAAATAAAAAAACATAATTAACATATGATTAATTGAGTATTAATTATTAAAACTTTGAAAAATTAATTTATTTGGTTGTTAAATCACTTTCTATATAAAAAGTTTTCGCACGTATCATTTAACAAATTGAAAAACCTGCTAGTAAAAAACGAGGATTACTTGAGGTCAATTAGCTCTTTGGAACATGACCTTAAGTATGGGCACCTCATCTATGTCCTGTGTTGGGACCCAGTGTTGAGTGTAGTAGGCAGATTGACAGAAAAGTAGTTACGAACTCGGAGACCTGAATCTGAATTATCTGAATGTTATGATGAGGATCAAAGAGTCGATGGTGAAGCAGCAGGACCACAAACGGCCGGTCGGCTGGACCACAAACGGCTTCCCTGGGTTGGATCCAAAATTCAAAATAGTCAGCAGCAAAAGCACAACTTTGGGATCGATCTTCAGACCTTCAGTATAGGAAAGAAAAACAGGGAAGAGCCGAAGAGTTTGATTCAGCAACTTGGCTGAGCAACTTCATCTTTTCAGAGAGCACGTTTCCTAAATTACTACACCGTGCATTTCCTAAATTATTTTTTTAAGTTCAAAATAATTAATACTTATTAATCATTCACTTAATGGTCTGTCTTGATTTTCATGATGCAAATTAGCTAGTCCGAATTGGCAATTCAAACCCACCTTAGGACTTGTTTATAGTGTATGGACCTGACATGAATAATGAATTCTTCATGTTTAACATATGTTTGATCCCTGCTTAGATAAAAAAAGATCATGTGTATACCGGTTATATTCCTCATCTTATACAACCATCACTAAAGCAAACACCAAAAAAATAATTATTATTGTTTGGACCACTTAAATAAATACTCCCTCCTTCCCAAATTGATCATCATGTAATGTAATTCAAAATTTCTCAAATTGATCGTCATATAACCATATGGACATGGATTTTAACAGAATACAATTAATACAGTATGGGAAAATGAGTGCATGCTAAGATGTAATTGGCATGGTGTTTTGATCGATGCATATATTGTGAGGGAATGTGTGCATGGTGTCTTGCTTGATGTGATTTAAATTATCTTTAGTCTTGGTGCATAAACATATATGATGATCATTTTGGGAAGGAGAGAGTACAATCCATGCATTCAATTGGACTAGATATCTTTAGATGTAATATTTAAAAAATGAATTAAAAGAAGAGAAAGGTGCTTATTAATTGCATGTATACATTTGCGCCTTGCAGGCCTGTATTATGAAATACGGGAAATAGTAATTCCTCCTTTACAAATTGATTATCATATGATGGAATTTAAAATTTTTTAAATTGATCATCATATAATTGCATGAACATGAATTTTATCAGAATACAATTAATGTAGCATGGGAGAATGTGTGTATGCTAGGGTGTAATTGGCATGGCGTTTTAATCGATGCGCGTATTGTGGTAGAATTTGTGCAAGGTGTCTTGATTGATGCAATTTAAATTATACTTAGTATTGGTGTATAAACATATATAATATATATAATGATCAATTTACGATGGAGGGAGTAGATTATATTTCAGCCATAGAGGTTAATTATCCACACCAATAATCTGACAAATTTCAATCCTGGCATCCATGCATTTTAGAAAGTGTATACACTAAATTACATCAACTACTAACAAATTTATGAAGCACCAACATAATTTGCTTGATTTTATAATGCCAAGCTTGAGAAAATGGTGGCAGAAGTGACAAAGTTCGAACACCGATATACCCAGTGGCCACTTGGTAGTGCTAACTCTTAAATTTAACTTTAGAAATTGGGTCTGGAGTGCAGCCGTGGAGCTGACTAACTATAGTTCTACTTCTCTAGCTTGCTCCCTCTGTCCCATTTTAAGTGTAGCCATGACTTTTCGTGCCCAATTTTGATCGTCCGTCTTATTTAAATTTTTTTTGAAAAAATTTAAAAACATAAGTCACGTATAAAATACTATTCATATTTTATCATCTTATAACAATAAAAATACTAATTATAAAAAAAAATTAAATAAGACAGACGATTAAAGTTAGGCACGTAAACTAATGGTTGCAAAATAGGACGGAGGGAATATCTTTTTAAAGAGCATTTTAGCCAGCTCCACTCTAGGTTTGGGTGAAGCTGAAATCATTTAGAGCATTCCCAAGAGACTCTCCAAACTAAATTTTAGCTATTTTAGTAAAAAAATCCACTCCAACAATCTCTCTACTAGAATGGCTAAGCCAAATGACTAGCCAAATTCATCTCCTCAATGGCCAAACTTGGCCAGCCCAAGTTGCCTCTCCATTGGTGGGCCCCACGCCGAAGAGGCTTATCTCTCCCCGCGCTACCTGCGTCACAGTTGAGAGCGTGAAGGAGGATGCGGCGGTGGGGCAGCACGACGAGGAGCGTCACCCGCGGCCTCCTGCTCGCCGGCCGCGCTGCTCAGGATCGAGCTGGCTCCCCCGGCGGAAGCGTCACCACTACATCCAGCACTGCCGCCTCCGCTCCCGGCCACATCCGCCGGCGTCTTCTTCCTTTCCGGCGAGGAGCAGATCCGCAGATGCCCACGCGGCCAAGGTGAGCACGCAGCCGCAGACGCCCAACACGGCCAAGATGCACCGCTCGACGCTCGTCATCAACAAGTTTGTTGGCAGCACGCCGCTGACCGTCGCCGACCAGCTCCTGTGCAACTCCGACGCGGCAGCAGCCGCCGTCGAAACAACGACAGACGCGCCGGCCCCGGCGCTTCGCCGCGTGCCGTCCTCCACCTCCACCACGACGCTAGCGGCCCCGGTCGCCGTGGCGTCGACCTCCACCGACGGCGACGACGACGATGAGTGCGGCGAGCCGCACCACCCAGCCGGCGCCGCCGCTCCAGCAGCCAACACCAAGCAGCTCCTCCTCTTCGCTGTTGCAAAGGATTTGATTTGGGATTGATGATAAGCCATGGAGAAGTGATTGGGAGGAAGGAGAAAGGAAGAAATGAGTGAGAGACTGACAAGTGGGTCCACTGTCATAGACTTATAATGAAGAAGAGTACAGATAGAGAGGTTGTTGGAATGAATAACGAGTTTGGCTTGCTAAATTAATTGGAGAGCTGGTTATATGGGTATTTGGAGAGTCGAATTTTGCCATTCTGTTGGAAATACTCTTAGAGCAAGAATAGTAATGGGCTATAAGCAAGCTATATATGCTTATGTGGAAGAGAGAAATAAAAAAAGTGGGTAGTGTTGGCTCTCATGCAAGAGCTAGCTTCACATAAGCTCCAAAAAATTTGCATTAAATTTATAGAGTGAGAGAGAGAATAGAAAAAATAAAGTTGACCTTATAGCTAACCTATTATACAAGTTAGCTCCAATATTAACTTATAGTAAGCAGTGAACTCTGCTATTAAACTTGCTCTTAGAGACTTCAGATTCAAGAGAGATAGGACTAGAGGCTGGAGGTATATCAAACGGATCTGATTATTGCATTATTCTATAGTACCAGACTACCAATTGATTATTGCATTATTCTATAGCACTCGATGGATTCCTGTCTGTGTTCTTCAGAGAAGAAAAACAACAAAGGCAGGATGACCATCTTAAAGTCCCGAGAAGACATATCTGATCAATAGGGGATGGTTGCAGTAATGTTAAATAAATAATACTAAACTTAGGGTGTGTTTAGTTTTTTTTAAAATTTTTAAGTATACAAATACACATTTAAAGTATTAAACATAGACTAATATAAAATAAATTACAGATTCCGCCTGTAAACTGCGAGACAAATTTATTAAGCCTAATTAATCCGCCATCAGAAAATGTTTACTGTAGCATCACATTTTTAAATCATGGTATAATTAGACTAAAAAAATTCGTCTCGCAATTTACATGCAAACTGTATAATTGGTTTTTTTTTCATATTTAATACCACATGCATGTGTTAAGTTTTTATCTAAACAAGGCCTTACTACTGAATACTGACTGGGTCTAGCGTCAGGCGAGCGTAAGTTCTGCCATGAGTTCCTGCAATTCAGCTTGAGAAAATTGCATGTGTATTTCTTAAACTTAATTGTCATTTTTTTAAAGCTTTGAGTTCTGTTAATTCTTGTATATGCCTTCGAATTTTATTTTTATCTTCTTCCATACGTTTTCCGTTAGTCAATTGTTAATTCTTATGAAAAAGCTTATTTTGTTTTTATATGAAGAAACTTTAAAGTTTATGTAGTATATAAATTTATTATGTGGAACTTTTATATTTATTATTTTGTTATAGTATATTATTTATGATAAAAATAATATTTATTTTAGAATTATTACAATTGTATATGTGTAGCGTATAAATAATAATTCAACACATATTTATCCATATATTCTACAATAAAGTGTGGGGTGTCATCTAGTTGTGCTCATATTAGTTCAAAATATGGTTCTTCGAGAGCTCCAAGTACGGTTTCTTATCAATCGGTATTAAAGATAGAAATGTGATGTTGGGCATTTTAACCGGTATTAAAGATCTTTTGTACCGGTTTGTAAGAGATCCGAGAGATTTGTAATTTTGGCCAACCGAGAAAAATCAGTTCTCTCCACTAGTGGTTGTACTGGTAATTAAGAACATTTCAATAATAATTATGCTGCCCTTCTTCAATATGAATTGAGAGGGACGGTATTTATTTGGCAACGGCAAACAAACCTGGAACGATAACTGAAAGAGTATACATAAGTTTTAAAATAACTTATATTTTAGGGGAAGAAGTTGACAATGTTGATTATCTACTCAAATATATAGAGATAAATTTATTAAATAAGTGATTTAAACAGTGTATTATAGTTTTTTTAAAAAAAATTGGAACACGAAATAAATAATGTGTTTCATTAACAGGGTGAATAAACTGAATTAGAACAAGTTTAATAGTATAGCCAACTAATAGCTCAAATCAACTATAGTCACCTTAATAATCAATTCATACAATAGTTATCTATAAACATATAATACATTAATATGGTCTCACCTATCATATACATATTGTATCTTAAAGTCCATGCTATAGCTGGCTAGAGATTTGTATTATAAACATATAATACACTATTAATATATGGTCTCATCTCTTTTTTTTTATCTTCTTTAGCTGGCTTATAGTTTACTATTGTAGCTACTCTTATAATCAAGTTGCAGTGGGCATAGATTCGGGAGGTGGAAAGGATGGCCTGGTGGTATCATGATTGATATGGAAGATCTTCTCCAATTATTAATCCTTGGGGTGCATCACATGCATTGTCTTCAGCTGTTGCTGACCCCAATTGTTTATGCCTCTTGTAAAGTATGACGATTGGTTTGCCCTTTTTTCCTCTACTACTAACGGATTACTGTTGAAACAAGATTTCGGCAATAATAAAAGGGGTAGCTATTAAGCTAGGAAAGCGGATGGGTTTGGAGACAAAGAATTTTATACAGGTTCAGGCCTTCTTATTCAAGAGGTAATACCCTACTCCTGTTCGGGGATGATTCCGCCGAGTGTATTATTGATTGTATAAACTAGGAAAAAGAATCGCGCCCCGAGAGGCACACAGACCCTCCTTATATAGGGAAAGGAGTCCGCTTTACAAAATACAGTCCATATCCTAACGAAATATGGGATTATAGATAAAATACAATTGTAACCGACTAGGATCCCGGGTATTTCCTTGACATACAAGTTAGAAACTAACCCGAGTCCTCATAAAGATATTCTATCTATATTTGGTACCGTATATCCGACTAAATTATAACTGTCATGTAGATATGGGGTATCCATAATCTCCACAATAGCCCCCGAGACCTTCGCAGTTGATAAAATAGACTTCTCGAAACAAAAAACAGTAATCCGAGTGCTTCAATTCAACTTGCTCCAGCTTGCCGAGTGCTAAGACCAAAGACTGCGAAGGGCGAAAATAAAACATGGTGCATCGAGTAGATGCACCTAATTAGGTGTAGCCCCCGACTATGTGATTAGTTGAAAAACTAAACATGTAGTCAAGAACCGAGTGGTTTTATAGCGAAGCATGCATGGTACTCAGTAAAATACCCAGCCGATTGCTTCTCAACTTGAACATATCAAGGATAAAAGATATGAAAGGGCCGAGTGATAAACACTCAAAAGGTCCAAAAATAGACATATTTGATAGGAATCCGAGTAAGAAACTCTTAAAATGATCCTCCAAACATGATAAAAATCATGGTAATAAACGAGTCTAATAGCCTAAGCTATGACTCTCACCATAACCAAAATAAGCATATAACATGCTAAGAGAATGACTATTTATTAACCAGTCATCTCAAATCAACCCAAACAGCTTTTGCAGCCTAATAAAGCTTACAAAAATAGTATAACACCTTTCTGTCGGGTACCTTTTGTTTGCATCGTGTTAATTCCAAAGAATTATCAAACCGCATTAAAAAGGATTTTAACAGCATTGGGCCACATCATTGTGAGCACAAATTGCCAAAGCAAAGAGTGCCTAAGTCTCTAAGGACCACAACGGGCCACGCCGGAAATAAAATTGGGCTGAAGTACTGTACAGGCCCAGGCCTGTTAGCACTCCCGATACCCTAATAGCACCGAAGTGAAATAAAACGTCTCTTCGTCTTCCCCGCCGGGACTCTCGCCATTTTCCCCATTTCCTGCTACAGTACAAAACTTCGCCGGCCAAACTAGGGTTCATCAATCCGCTCCAATCCATCCTTAAAAACTTCATGAAATTTCTCCCCGCGTCCACCGCTCCGATTCCCCATCCCTTTCCAGCCATATCTCGAACCAAATTAAACCACCCAGTTCACATTCATGGCGGAAGAAAGAGAAAGCTTCGAGAGTCAGTGGGCGCCCTCCGATGTGATGGAAGATAATCTGAAGGAGATGGTGGCGCACGGCGTTCTTCCGGCGAAAGAGATCATCGGGTGGCGACCAGCATTCGGCGAGGCGTTCCCGACCCCCGACACACATGAGATTGTGGTATTCTCTCACTTCTTCTATGGCGGATTTTCTCTTCCAACCTCAAGATTCTTCCGGGGAATTCTGAACTTCTATGGAATTAGCTTGCATCATCTGAATCCAAACTCCATAATTCATATCGCCAATTTTGTTCATGCATGCGAAGCTTTTCTGGGCATTAGGTCTCATTTCGCCTTGTTCCGCCGCATCTTCTTCCTCAAACCCCAGCCAAACAAGAGCAAACAATGCGTTGTTGGGGGTGCTGGTTTCCAACTCAGGGGAACACTAAGCCAAAAATACTTCTCCATGCCCTTCAAGACTTCAAACAAAGGCTGGCACGCCAACTGGTTCTATGTTCAAAATCCCAAACCAGCCCTTCCCGAGTACTCTTGTCTCCCTCCGGTCTACCAAGATACATGGAACTCATTGACTACAGGAGATGAGGCAGCCCAGGCTGTAGAACTAATGGAGCACATGATAAAGCTGAAAGAACAAGGTTTGCAAGGAGAACAGATCACTCGGCACTTCATAAAAATCCGGTTAGCTCCAATCAAAGAGAGATCCCGCACAGCTTTTGAGTTTGACGGCAAACATGATCCAAATCGTGAAGATCCAGACTCTCTTAACTTTAAGGTTATGAAGGAAAGGATGTACAAGATCATCTCGAATGCTATCGTTGTCAGCTATTCGCACTTCCTGCCAGTCGTGCCATTCAATGCTTTCAATCCTCCTCCACCGGTATGTAATCAAACATTTCAACATTTCACAAAATATAGTCTTGTCTTTTTGTTGAATCAATTAACAATGAAGGATATCACGCCCAGGAATTTGCTTTAATGAAATCGGACCCCCCAGTCGTTCAACGCCGATCACCCCACCGCCAAACCGGTCAAGGGAGCGGGGGTCCCAAGATCCATTTTGAAGCCCGGCCAGATACCTCCAATCCAGCCGGCCAGCCAGATTCACGCAAAAGGAAGTTGATGTCAAGTGACGACGAAAGCGACACTGCTAGAAAGCCTGGAGACCGAGAGGCAACCAAGAAACTGCCGAAGCAGGCTACTCCAAGGAAGAAAACATCCAGTCGTCCTGTGCCAAAGATCAGGAAGTCTTCTAGGTATAAATCATATAACGATCTCCCTTGCATTGATGCGCACCTAGTGCGGAAATAATACTGATAATCAAACTTGCAGGAAACCATCTGATATAGATCCTTCTGGAAAAGATTCTGACCCGACCAGTAGGGAAACGAACTTAAAAGAAACCGAGCCGAATGCCGAGGATCAGCCGAGTGACAACCAGCCAGCAACCGATAATGTAGGATCTGGT